CACTAGAGTCTATAATACTGAGTGACCTCTCACAAAAACAAAAATCCGAATATCACATGTTCTCACTCATATAATGGACCTTGAACATCCAATGCAATACTATGAGAAAATGACGGATGGTACTGGGAAACTATGGGGGGGAGGGGGATGGGATTAACAGTAGCAACTATCTGTCTAGGGATGGGAAAACACTTCTTATCTACAGGGTGCCTGAATGAAACGTCATTGTACACCTAACCCTTAACTGTACCCCACAAAACCATAATAAAAAATACTGATTAATGAAAAAAAAAAAAAAAAAAAGATATGTTAATATGTGAGCGCAAGTTGCTGGCCTGTTAGTATCTTAGTGGTCCCGCCTTTTTTTTTTGAGTTGGAGTCTCAATCTTATATCCCAGGCTCGAGTGCAATGGCACACTCAGGGCCACGGCAGCCTCAACCTGCTGGCCTTAGGTGATCCTTCCACCTCAGCCTTCCAAGTAACAGAAACTATGGATGCACGCCCCCACGCCCAGCTAGTTTTTGTGATTTATTGCCAAGAAGGAAGATGACTCAGATCAGGTTGAAGACCCTCGAGACCAAGAGGTCTGTTGTCATTATGTCTCTACCTGGTGAACTTTGATAATAGAACAAACACTTTGGCCAAATATATATATATTGAGTTGGAGTCTCACATCTCACTCTGTCACCCAGGCTGGAGTGCAGAGGCATGCTCATGGCCACCGCAGCCTCGACCTAGTGGGCTCAGGCGATCCTTCCACTTCAACCTTCCAAATAGCTGGAACGACAGGCACACGCCACCATGCCTGGCTAAATTTTTGATTTGTTGTAGAGACGAGGTATTACCAAGTTGTCCAGGCTGGTCTCAAACCCTTGGACTCAGGCAATCCCCTCACCTCTGCCTCCCAAAGTGCTGGAATTATAGGCATGAGCCACCGTACCTGGCCAGTTTAACTTTCAATGTATAATTTGATTTTTCTTGGTTCCAGTTTTTGTGGGGAACTATCACCATATCCACAACAGGAGACGTAAGAATTAATACGTTTATGTGGGATAATTAAATTTTTATAAGGTGTAAGATTGGAAGTAATGACCAATTTCTAGTTATTGGGAGTTTTAAGTCCATATGTGCTCTTCTATTTTTTAGTTATACACCAGAGTACTCTCTAGTATTGTTAAGTTTTAAACTCTTTTCTTTCTAGGGTGGACACCCTCTACCTTTGTGTCTTCACGGCAGAACAGAGCAGAAAAATCTGTTCTTGGTCCTGAAGATTTTATGGATGAAGAGGTGGGTATGCAAAACTTTAATCGCCAGTTAGCTGTTGCAATGTGTAGTTGGTTATTGAAGCCCCTTCTCTCTCCCCAGAAAGTCCAATGTACAATTTCCTCTTTGTTTGGAAGGCTTTATCTTTTAGGAATTTGGGCTATAGTTCCTTATGCATCAGTGGATTCTCATTCCTTAAGTAGCATTTTCAAAAGTCAGAAGTATAAGGGAAAAGTCACATACTGGTAAATTTACTCGAAAAGCGCCAGTTGCCCTCAAAGCACAGTCTCCATGGTACTGAGTCTACAGCTTTCCACAGTAACTCTTATGTACACTGCAGTTTAAAGAAAATTAGTGACTGGGCAGACATTAAAATTCTCTTACCTTGAAACCTAGTTGTGAGTTTATCCATGATAAAGATGAAATAAGATACTTATATTGGCGTACTTTAGGCTGTAGGTAGGAGAGGTAAGAGGAAAGGGATGCTTCCTTCCTTTTTTTTGTTTTTTTCCAAGCTCCGGAGTCTTACGCTGTTGCCCAAACTGGTGTGCAATGGCACGCTCACAGCCACTGCAGCCTCGACCTGCTGAGCTTAGGCGATCCTTCCTCCTCAGCCTTCCAAGTAGCTGGAACTACAGATGCACGCCACCATGCCTGGCTAATTTTTTGATTTATTGTAGAGACATGATCTTGCCAAGTTGCCCAGGCTGGTCTTGAACCCCTGAGCTCAAGCAGTCCTCTTGCCTCCACCTCCCAAAGTGCTGGAATTACAGACATGAGCCACAGCGTCTGCCCCCCCCCACCCTTTTTTTTTTTGAGTTGGAATCTCACTTTACTGCCCAGGCTGGAGTGCGGTGGCATGATCATGGCTCACTGCAGCCGCAAACTCCTGGGCTTAGGTGATCTTTCTATCTCAGTCTCCTGAGTAGCTGCGACTATAGGCACATGCCACCATGCCTGGCTAATTTTTAAAATTGTTTTGTGGGGATGAGGTATCTTACTATGTTGCCCAGGCTAATCTCAAGCTCCTGGGCTCAAGTAATCCTCTCTCTTTGGCCTTCCAGAGTGTGGGATCACAGGCATGAGCCACTGTGCTTGACCTCTTCCTTTTTTAAGTAGCGTAGTCTGTAAGGAAGCATATCGCACGTGGCAGGAAGCCTAGGTGTCAATGAGGCCCCAGGCTATCTCTTCTCATCATCTTCTGCATATCATCTTGTCCTTACACTGCTCCTCATCATAGTTGCAAGGTGGCTGTAGTAGTTCCAGGTGGTACATCTAGGATATCATTATCCAGTTGAAGGAGAACTTTCCTCTTGGTCCCTTTTCTAGAGGACAAAGAAACCTTTCACATAAGTCCTGTAGTAGATTTTCCCTACATCTGCTTGGACAAATTGTTTTACATGCCCATTTCTTTTTATTTATGTATTTATGTATTTATTTATTTATTGTAGAGACGAGGTCTCGCCATGTTGCTTAGGCTGGTCTCCAACCCCTGAGCTCAGGCAATCCTCTCACCTCTGCCTCCCTAAATGCTGGGATTACAAGCATGAGCCACCACGTCTGGCTATATATGCCCATTTCTAAAGTAGTTTCTGGCAAGGGAAATGGGGTCAAAACGTGGTTTAGTTAAGACATACAGCTCCACTCCCTAGCCCTGCCTTCCTGACGCTGTGGTCCCACTCCTGAAGTGTGTGGCAGCATGGAGGCAGGCAGGTGCATGGATAGCATCAAGGCTCTGCCAGGAAACGTAAGGGGCAACTGTGGTTGGACAGTCAGCCAACAGCGTCTGCTCCAGTAAATGCAGAAGCACCTGGCTCAGGGCCTGGCACCAGGGCACTCATAGGTGATGGTGGCTGGGACTCTAAGCTCTGTCTCCCTCACACTGACCTTTGGAATATTGTGAAGAAGGACATGGCTCTTACTTCCTGTCTTTCTAGCTTGGTAGTGGCCACCATGGCCCTGATGAGCAGTGACTATCATGGTCTGCCCTTGGCTACTGGCTACTGGCCTTACCTTATGGAAGGTTGAAGTTCTTTTTTTGCGGGGGGTTTTGAGTTTTTTTTTCCAGTGCCGTGCGAAAGATGCAAAGAATTGCACAGAAGTTAGATTGGAAAATATAGTTTATTTAGAAAGTAAATTAGAGAGAGAAAGAGAGAAAGGATTCACCTCCCCAAAGTAGGGGAGGGGGACAAAGCTGAGGGAAACATGGCCTGGCTATAGCTCAGTGAACACATGACCTGGCCAGAATTTAATGAAAGCAATGGCTTGAGGTTGATGTTCTAAAGTCAATGTGTAAAGTCTGTTACTGTCTTGATCTGAAGCTAATTTTTGTAGCTTTAACTTTAAAAAAAAAGAAATAAATAAAGCTGTGCGATGTATCATGCTTAATCACTTTCTAAGTAATGTAATTCTGTTTGAATTGTTTTTGAAGGATCTTAGTGAATTTGGGATAGCACCTAAAGCGATTGTTACAACAGACGATTTTGCTTCAAAAACCAAAGACAGAATACGAGAAAAGGCCAGACAGTTGGCAGCTGCTACTGCCCCTATTCCTGGAGCCACTCTGCTTGATGACCTCATTACACCAGCAAAGTAAGAAGAAATTTTTGTTTTTGAGTTGGAGTCTCACCCTGTTGCCCAGGCTGGAGGACAGTGGCATGCTCATGGCTTACCACAGCCTTGACCTGCTGGACTTAAGCGATCCTCCCTCCTCAGCCTCCTGAGTGGCTGGGACTACAAATGTGCGCCACCACACCTGGCTAATTTTTTAAATTTATTGTAGAGATGAGGTCTCACCATGTTGCCCAGGCTGGTCTTCAACTCCTGGGCTCAGGCAGTCCGCTGGTCTCAGCCTCCCAAAATGCTGAGGTTACAGGCATGAGCCACCACCCCCAGCAATAAGAAGAATGTAATTGTGACTTCTGATCTTAGCAGCAGTGCTTCGCACGTGTGTGATTATCTTACTCAGGGACAGTTTGATTGCAAGTAAGACAAGCCTTCTTAGGCTAGAAGTCTAAGTAAAAGGGGAGTTTTGCCACAAGGATGTTGAACATCACTGCACGGAGTGCTCAAGAGCTCCAGCCAGCAGCTGTGCACTGGGGCCATGGAGACAGGAGAGCTATTGGGAATTTCGGTGGCTTCCTTCCTCTGCCTCCCTCCCAGGTCTTATGGGCTTTCCCTTCTGCCTCCTTGTACCCTTTCTTTTTGCATACCTCCTTGTTCTGCTCCTGGGCATGTGACCTGATGTGACAGCCTCAGACAATCATAGATTCCCAGACCACTTGTTTGACAAGGATTATCTAGAGTCCCTCTGTGCCCATCACAGAGGCCCAAGAGAGAGAACGTTTGATTGACTTCCCCAGGTCAGATGTGCAACCTAAATCCAATCAACTGTGGCTGGAACGTGGGTGAGGGAAAGGGCCTAAGGAAGCCTGGTCTAGGAGTTGGGTGGGAACTCGGAAGCTGCTTATTTCATTCTGTTGGCTAATATTATTATTATTTTCTTAATTTTGTTGTAAAGTTGGGGCACAAGTCAAGATTAGGTACATAAACAGTCTATGTAATGTTATTTTTAAAAGTTCATTTTCGATGCCTTGATATCCTAGATTATCGGTTGGTTTTGAATTGCTAAGAAAAATGGGTTGGAAGGAAGGACAAGGAGTTGGTCCTCGAGTTAAGAGAAGGCCACGGCGACAGAAACCTGGTATGTATATTGACTGTCATGATTTCTGCAGTGTGCTTTTTAATGACTGCAAGTTCCGAGCAACAGAATTGCTAGGCCAAGTGATATGCATGTATTTTAAGGCTTTTATGTTTAATGCATGACAGCTTCCAGAAGAGTTGTGCTAGCTTACATTCCCCACCAGCAGCGTTTAAGAGTTTGTATTTCCTGCCCTCTCAGAATCGTTTCTTTTGGGTTCTCCATGCCGCCAGGTAGTCGTGGTTACTCATTGAGCACATTACTGCCGGAGCATGGGTCAGGCAGGGGTGGTGGAGAACACTTCCTTAGTTCTTGCCTCTGCCTGTAAAGATGTAGCACTTTTATAAGTGCAGCCATGTACTCTGAAGAGTGTCATTGAACCAGGTTTTTTTTATTTTGAGTCACTTAATGACTAATGCATTTGAAATCTCTTTTCTAGATCCTGGAGTAAAAATCTATGGCTGTGCATTACCTCCTGGAGGCTCTGAAGGATCTGAGGTATTATATGGAATGACTGACCTTCAACTTGGTACAGTAGTAGCTGTTACTTTATGACTGTGAACTTGTAGAGTCAGAAGCAATTTTAGAAATGTCAGACCCTATTACTGTAAAGTGAAATACTTATACCCTGAAGCTATCCTCATTATGTCAAATAATGTATTCAGTAACACGCTAGCACCAAGGATACCCCAAGTCTGTTCAGATTTATAAAATGGACTTGTTTGTGTTAGTATCGTTTATTCACGGATGTGATTTAGTCGTTTGTAACAGCATAAATGGAACCTCGGTAATTGTTGTGTTTGGCATTAATCACTGCATTTTAAATTAGTATTTTATGGGTTTACTTTGCACCATGCAGTGACTCACCTTAATTCAACTTTAAACATTTTGAAATAGGAAGAAGATGATGACTACTTACCTGATAATGTGACCTTTGCACCCAAAGATGTCACACCGGTGGATTTTACGCCTAAAGATAACGTACATGGACTGGCTTACAAGGGCCTGGATCCCCACCAAGCCCTGTTTGGGACTCCGGGAGAACACTTTAATCTTTTCGGTGGGGATTCTGAGAGGGCCAGCAATCTTCTTGGAGAAGTTGGACTAAATAGAGGAAGAAAATTGGGAATTTCAGGCCAGGTAAAAGGCCTTTGTTTTATAAAGGTAGAACCACTGACAAATGAGTATATTTTCTGTATTAGGTTTGCTCCATAGTAGGCACTCGTTATTCATTGAATAAATGAAGACTTCAAAGTGGTTGTCTATTTTCCTTAGGCTTGTTTCTGAAAGCACACCTTCCTGATTTTAAGGATAGACTCCTGAGAGCCTGTGCCTAATGTTCTTGGTGGAGTTTGTGTGCTCTCAGGGAAGAGGGTTGCTTTTCCACCCTTGTGGGGCTGAGCAGAAAACCACTCTTTTTTTTTCTTTTTTTCTTTTTTTTTGAATTGGAGTCTCACTCTGTCGCCCAGGCTGGAGTGCAGTAGCATGCTTATGGCCACCGCAGCCTCAACCTGCTGTGCTCAGTGATCTTTCTGCCTCAGCCTTCCAAGTAGCTGTAACTGTAGGGACAGGCACTTTTATCCCTTTGATTTAGTAATAATCAAATGAAAATTACAAACTGCCCCTTCAAGTTTAGGTCCAAGTTTTATTGCTTCATGGACTATATCCTAGGGCTGCAAGCCTTAAGTCAGGACCATATGGGTAATTTTTACCCAGGGGATTTTTTTACTTTTGGGAAGGTAGAAAACTTTTACAGATTGCCTGTCTTCTCAAATCGATCAAGAAGTTCTTTCTTAAAATGCATTTTAGAAGCTGGGCGCAGTGGCTCACTCCTATAATTCCAGCATTTTGAGAGACAAAGGCAAGAGGATCGCCTGAACCCACAGGTTTGAGACCAGCCTGGGCAACATGGTGAGACCTTGTCTCTATAATAAATAAAAAAATTAGCTGGGCTTGGTGTGCCTGTTGTTCTAGCTGCTTGGAAGACTGAGGCAGAAGGATCGCCTGAGCCCAACAGGTCAAGGCTGTGGTGAGCCATGAGCATGCCACTATACTCCATCCTAGATAAGAGTGAGACTCCAACTCAAAAATAAATAAATAAATAAATAAAATGCATTTAGAAAATGGTTACTGGCCAGGCTTGGTGGCTCAGTCTGTAATCCCAGCACTTTAGGAGGCAAAGGCAAGAGAATTGTCTGAACCCACAGGTTCGAGACCCTCCCGGGCAACTTGGCAAGACCTCGTCTCTACAATAAATCAAAAATTAGCCAGGCGTGATAGTGCGTGCCTGTATTTCTGGTTACTTGGAAGACTGAGGTGGAAGGATTGCCGGAGCCCAGCAGGTCGAGGCTGCGGTGCCCGGGAGTGTGTCACTGCACTCCAGTCTAGGCCAACAGAGTGAGACTACAATTCAAAAAATAAAAAAGAAAACAGTTATTTTGCCATTTCATTATTGCCTTTCTTTTTTTTCTTTTTGGAGTCTCACTGTGTCGCCCAGGCTGGAATGCAGTGTCACGCTCACAGCCACTGCAGCCTTGACCTGCTGTGCTCAGGTGATCCTTCTGCTTCAGCCTTCCAAGTAGCTGGAACTACAGGCAAGTGCCACCATGCCCAGTTAATTTTTTGATTTACTGTAGTGACGAGGTCTCGCCATGTTGCCCAGGCTGGTCTTGAACCCATGGACTCAGGCAATCCTCTTATCTCCGCCTCCCAAAGTGCTGGGATTATAGATGTGAGTCACCGCACCTGACCTGCCTTTTCTTTTCTTTCTTTCTTTTTTTTTTTTTTGAATTGGAGTCTTACTTTGTTACCCAAGTTTCTATACATTTCTTTTTCAGTCCTTTTTTATAAAAAAAGGCTGTTTCCTAGAAAAATTAGTATAGCAGCCATTAGAGCAGTGCTGATGTTCAGACCCTGGTCACCGACACTGGCCCTGGGCCACACTGACTAGTAGATGAACATTTCTGCTTTTCTCCTTGTGGAGGCTGCATTTCTACTTCTACGCTGCTGCATGGGTATGTTCTCCACTCCTTTCCTGTTCTGGGACCTGGAACTGTGGAGGGATGACACTGGCTTCTGGTAATTGTTTTCTGAGAGAGTTGAGTCTGTGTTAATCTGGCCTCCCACTCACTTCTCTCTTGGTGATCTTGAAGAGCTAATATGGTCTGTTCAATCATGTCCTTATAGTAGCTTTACCCAGCCCGGCATGGTGGCTCATGTCTGTAATCCCAGCACTTTGGGAGGCGGAGGCGAAGGTGAAAGGATTGCCTGAGCCTAGGGGTTTGAGGCCAGCCTGGGCAACATGACGAGACATCATCTCTACAATAGATTAAAAAATTAGCCAGGCATGGTGGCATACACCTGTAGTTCCAGCTACTTGGAAAGCTAAGACAGAAGGATTGCCTGAGCACAGCAGGTCAGGGTTGTATTGGCTGTGAGTGTGCCACTTTATTCTACTCTGGGCATCAGAGTTTTTTTTCTCTGACCCCTTCCAAAAAAAGTAGCTTTACCCTTGAATGCAGACATGCCCTACGACATATAATTGCTCAGTTTGAAACCTTTGTTTTTTGAAGGCTTTTGGTGTGGGTGCCCTTGAAGAGGAAGATGATGATATCTATGCTACAGAAACTCTATCCAAGTATGACACTGTTTTGAAGGAGGAGGAGCCCGGAGATGGACTCTATGGTTGGACAGCGCCCAAGCAATATAAAAGTCAGAAAGGTAATTCCATAGAACCATACCTGATGGTAGGACCATGTGTCAGGATATCAGAAAGAAGGGATTACAGCCGGGCTCTGTGGCTCAGCCTGTAATCCTGCGCCTTTGGGAGGCTGAGGTGAGTGGATTGCCGGAGCCCGTGGGTTCGAGACCCGCCTGGGCAGCAAAACCTCATCTCTACAATAAATCAAAAAATCAGCCGGGCGTGGTAGCGCATGCCTGTAATTCTGGCTACTTGGAAGGCTGAGGCGGAAGGATCGCCGGAGCCCAGCAGGTCAAGGCTGCGGTGGCTGGGAGCAGCCACTGCACTCCAGTCTGGGCGACAGAGTGAGATTCCAACTCAAAAAAAAAAAAAAAAGAAGGGATTGCAAGACTGATGCTGGGCTGTCAGTCTCTGTGGAATAGAAGGTTGTTGGTCAAGGATGCAAGGGAAAAAACAGAGAGAGGAGAGGCTTCTGTTAAGGACAGAAGTGGGGTTTAGACCAACCAAGGCCAAAGCCAACTGTCAAGAAGGGGCCAAGGTGGGGAGTTGGGAGAGGTCTGGAGTCAGGGGAAGAACAAGCCTAGGCGATGCCTGTGCTGCTGGTCAGAACTGGCAATGGGTCCGAGTGATGCACTCAGAGCCTGAGAACCTGGGCAAGTGCCACAGTAGGCCAACTCAAACAGCAGGTTAGGAGATCAGGCCTGGGGTCCAGGTGGTAGGTTCTCGGACAACCTGTAGCAAAATGGAGCTTGGTGCCTGGCCTGTCTCCTCATTTGAGTCCCTGGCTTCAGGGGGCTCTTGTTAGGATAAAATATCTTTCTTTTTTTTTTTCCTCTTTTAATTTTTTTTATTTTAAAGATGTGGGGTACAATTCAGGGTTAGGTATACAAATGTTCATTATGCAGGTCCCCTTGTTGATGAGGTGTGCCCTCCCCCCCAGGCAGATTCCCACTACTTCCAACCCTGCCTCCCCCACCCTGGCAGTTTTCTGCTACTCCAATCCTTTTCTTATAATTTTCTGATAATTGTTCAAGGTCTGTTTATGAGTGAGAGCATGTGATACTCAGTTGTTTCTGTGATACATCACTCAGTATTATAGACTCTAAGTTCATCCAGGTTGCTGTGAAGTTCGTGAAAAAATGTCTTTCAACGCAACTTGAGTTTCTAGTTAGAGTCTATGGTGACACAGATCTTATGATTCTAAGTGGCATTTCAGTTTTTCTTTCCAGAAAATGTGCAAGGGGAGACAGTATGGAATAGGTGTTAGTAGTAAGTGATTTGAAGTCAATCAGACCTAGATTTGGATCCCAGCTATCTCTCTACTGCCCAGCTTTGTGACCTTGGGTAAAGCTCATAATCTCTCTGGGCATCAGAGTCCTCATTTGTAAAGTGAGGATAAAATCTGCTCTAGTGCTGCTGCGGTGGCTCATGCCTATAATTCCAGCACTTAGGGAGGCTAGGGCGAGAAGATCGTCTGAGTCCAGGAGTTTGTGACCAGCCTGAGCAATTTGTTGAGACCTGGTCTCCACAATAAATCAAAAAAATTAGCCGGGCATGGTGGCGTGCACTTGTGGTTTCAACTACTTGGAAGGCTGAGGTAGAAGGATCACCTGACCCCAGCAGGTCGAGGCTGCAATGGCTGTGAACATGCCACTGGATTCCAACCTGGGTGACAGAGTGAGACATCAGCTCAAAAAAAAATCTGCTCTAGAGGTGGTTGTGAGGATTAAATGACATTACTAGGTGCTTGGCACAGTGCCCTCTCCAAAGACTGAACAAATAGGCCTACTATTTGGTTATAGTACAGTCATGTGTCACTTAACAATGGGGATGCATTCTGAGAAATGCGTCATTAGGTCGTTTTGTCTTTGTGTGAGCATCATACAGTGTACTTACACACTTAGGCTATGTGGTACAGCCTGTTGCTTCTAGGCCACAAACCTGTACAGCATGTTACTGTACTGAATTCTGTAGGTTATTTTAACACAATGGGGAGCATTTGTGTATCTGAACATATCTAAACATAGAAACGGTGCAGTAAAAATATGGTATAATAAATAAAAAAGCCGGGCTCAGTGGCTCAGCCTGTAATTCCGCACCCTTGGGAGGCTGAGGTGAGTGAATTGCCTGAGCCCGCGGGTTCAAGACCCGCCTGGGCAGCGAGACCTCATCTCTACAATAAATCAAAAAATCAGCCGGGCATGGTAGCGCGCGCCTGTAATTCCGGCTACTCGGAAAGGCTGAGC